GTGTGTGTGTGTGTGTCTGATGGGAAATGAACACATTTCCATAGTAATTACAGAGCGACTCATTTCTCCTCTCCAGTTAGAAGTGTCATGAATCATTAGCGCTGCAGTCTTGAGCATGGTACAAAACCTGACATGGCTGTGGCTTTTGTTTCCCCTCAACAGCTGCGTCTGCAGTGTGTGTGTGTGTGTGTATGAGTGTATGAAATGTGTATTTCAAAAACTTTTCAATCCTTAAATGCAGCTGACTTGTAATTCAGGACTCGGGGGGGCATGTGGAAGCCATTTTCAAATCATTGTTTTGTTAGTAGTACAACGGAACAGTTTGATCATACACACTCACATTTGCAGTTATTCCATAAGGTAGTTTTTTTCTGACTGTCAAAGGTCAGTTAGTCTATACTTTGAGTGTTTCCTGCTCTTTCTAGAGAAGTAGAGTCAGATTTACACCAGATTTTTTATTTCATTATTTTATTACCTTTTTGCTGGGACAAGCAACATCTTAATCCTATATTTGTCCCATACAACTTTAGTGTCCCCATGATGCAAATGGAAATTACATTTATGTACAATATGTACAATATGGTGCATAGGAACAGTTATGTTGACCAAATTCATTATCATTGAATGAAAGGGCAAACTGTTCAATGCCATGCAAAATCATCATTACTCTTGGCATGTAAAATGTGAATTATGTTTTTATGTATATGTTGACGCAACATTAAAGGGTTTAAAAGGTTAATGAAAAGATCGTGTTGACGGCAGCTGCAGGTTTATGAAACAAAATGAATTTCTAATTCAGCATGGGCGAGGTCAGAAAATGTTCTTAAACTCCAACAGATGAGGAAGATTGTGTAATATGATTTCAGACTGAAGGTTCTGGTGAACTGGTTGTGGTCAAGTAGTCTCAAAGTCAATGATTGGAAGCTCAACATGGGTTGGATTGCCATTTTCAACGTTAATTCAAAATGCCAAAGTAGCTTTAACCTATAACATCAAATGAGTCGCAGAGTGAGAACTGCTTATGCTTTCAGAGTCCTTTGTTGTTTGACATGGAAAATAGGTAAATGTCTTAGAGGTTGCAGGCATGGCATGTCCCATAAAGCTTTTCACTTTCAGGCTTTAGTGCTGCTGCAGATAAGATGTTTCTGTAACACAGTCTTGGTGAGTGTCTAGCTCTCTGCTATAGATTTGTATTCCACAGGTATTTAATTTACAGTATGAACATTCATAGGGTCTTGAGCCGGAACAGGTTTTGTAAAGAGACGGTCGCCACTCGCTGCTTTTTTATCCTTCTTGACATCTGTGTGAAGTTAGCACTCTCCGTCAGTGCAGGGGGAAACCATTGTTCCATTTAGCAGCCATCCAGCTGCACTATACACTGCTGCTGGTTCATACAGTGAATATACACATCCCACCGACACAGATGTACGCTCATGCAGATTTAAAGCACACACACATGCACCAATCATGCAAAAACACAGACGTTAATGGAGTGCAGTATCAGTATCACACCCGGCCTCACGCTTCTCTCTGTTCCACCTCACTGAGGACAACAGGCTATCCCTGTCCTCCAAAGCCACACACTCCACATTTGCATATCAATTTACTTTTTAATATAATGCTCTGTCACTCGAGACCCATTTGTCATTCTGCTAGCAAGCTTCCACCTTCACAGAACTCCATCCATATATTATTATCGCCATAGCCCCTCCCCCAGTTTCCCCCTCTCTTCCTCTCCCTCGCTGCCCTTTATCTCGGGGGTGGTTTATTCTTTTCTTAATTCTTCCTTTAAGTGAAAACATTCCCTTATCAAATAACCCACATATCCTCTTTTTTTTTTCCATCCATTTATCCATCCCCCAACAGGCCTTGTCTTCCACTCTTTGTCTTAGCTCTTCTTCTTTTTTTTTTTGAAAGAGGGAATGGACACTAGGCACTGGAGAGAGAAGTAAAGAAACAGAGAGCGGGAGAAGGAGATGGAAAAAGAGAGTGCTGACAGGCAAGAACGCACAATGGGGGTCCAAGCCTGCATACCAACTAACAAGCAATCAGATGGAGGGGGAGTGTGGGGAGAGAAGGGAAGTATAGGGATGGAAACTCGAAGGTTAAAGTATAGAATGGGGGACAGAAAAGGGGTGAGAGGGTGTTTGTGCTGCAACAACAAAAGATAAAGAAGTGATGGAATAAGAAGCAGCTCTATGTTAAAAAAGAGTGGAAAGAATGAGGGATGGAAATGTTGAATACTGGCTCCATATAGCTCAAACTGAAGGAGAGTGAGAAAAGGAAGACTCAATAGACAAAGAGAAGAGTCAGTCCACAGTGTTACTGTGGGAGAGAAAAAGAATGGTGTCTACACAGTCTTAACTAAACCACAATGCAACAGTAAATCAGAGGCAGTCAGCAAGGAAGAGTAACATTTACACCTTAATTTACTCCATCGTTTAATAGCAGCATATAAATTCATTGTTTTTTTTTTACCCACCTCATCTCTGCTCAAGGTATCCAAAAGTTGGATCCTTTCCCAGTTTGCATTACTCATAAACCAAGGAAACACCTTGAACCGGTCGGCGGTCCATCACAAAGCCAACCCACGACGGATCAATACGCTCAAATTCAGCCAAACAGACAATTTGGAATATTCAGTCAACTCGATACTGAACACTGAACTACAGACTGTGTTTCTGTCAGGTGATAGCTCTGACCACAAACATTACAATCTCAGCAAAATATATAATTCAGAATGAACCTCTTTAATGACTACATTTTAGGCAGACAGTACAAACTTACTGAACATATCTACTGTCCGTCAGGATGGGAAAAGGTGTCTTTTGACCTCAGTAGATCTACCATCTTGTCTAGAATATTGTGAATTCTTTGCATTTCCCTGTATATTTTGACAATATCAATTTTGTTATATACTTGACCCTCAAAGTCTTTGAAAATGTAAACAAAATAAATATAAATAGACGGATCTGCCCCCTTTCTGGGCCCATACCCAATCCTTCCACTAAGTTCCACTAAAATGAGTTAAGCAGTTTTTGCATAAACCTGCTAACAGTCAGACTAACAGCAAAGAACACACTAGAATGGCATTCAGAGAGCACATCCCTCCACCAAGGCTAAAGCCCAATCTCACCATGTTAAAGAAAGTGAAAAGAATTCATCCACTCCATTATTGGATGGGTTCTTTCATGGGTCGTGCCCAACTCCTCCACAAAATC